GATAGAAATACTAAATTTTTTCATGCCCTGACGAAGCAAAGGCGAGCAAGGAACAGGATTACCCAACTACTGGATGCTGATGGAAATGTTGTGGAGGATGAGGAGGGGCTGGTAGCCATTGCTACTAATTATTTTAGACACATCTTTCAATCTTCAAATCCTGAGGCAATAGAGGAGGCACTCTCTGAAGTATCTACGAAAATTACCTCGACAGATAATGCGAGTTTAACAGCCCCGGTCACTGAGTGGGAGGTTAAACTAGCTCTCTTTGCGATGCACCCAGAGAAAGCTCCAGGAACGGATGGAATGACGGCGCTGTTCTACCAGAAATTCTGGGATATTGTAAAGGATGATCTAACTCTTATGGTTAATCAATTCCTTTTCGAGGGAACGGTGCCCTCTGGCTTAAATGATACCAATATATGTCTCATTCCAAAAGTGGAGAAGCCAAATCAAATGAGTCAGCTACGCCCTATTAGCTTATGTAATGTAAGCTATAAGATCATCTCTAAGGTCTTATGCCAGAGATTAAAGAAGTTCCTTCCAGATAGGATCTCAGAGACCCAGTCAGCCTTTGTTGCTGGGAGACAGATATCTGATAATATTATGATAGCACAGGAGTTGTTTCATGCTCTAAGAACAAAACCTAGTGGCCGGAACAAGCGGATGGCGATTAAAACGGATATGAGCAAGGCCTATGATAGAATGGAATGGTCCTTCATTGAGGCAACCATGAGGAAGATGGGCTTTTCTGAAGTTTGGATAACTATGATAATGAGATGTGTGACTTCAGTAAAATACAAGGTCCTTATGAATGGGCAACCAAGAGGGAATATTGTCCCGGAGAGAGGTCTACGACAAGGAGATCCTCTGTCCCCTTTCATTTTTATTCTGTGCACGGAAGCGCTCGTTAGCCTTCTTAATCACGCAGAGAATCAAGGGAAGATAACGGGGATGCGCATCACGCGTGCGTGTCCCTCTGTGTCTCACTTACTCTTTGCTGATGATAGTCTGTTTTTCTGCAAGGCGGAGCCCCGTGAATGTGAAGAAGTAATGAAAGTGGTCACGATATATGGAAAAGCTTCAGGACAATGTATCAATTTTGAAAAATCTTCTTTACTGTTTGGTAAAAGAATAGGCCAGGATGTGAGACAAGAGATTAAGGACACCCTAGGGATCCAGAATGAAGGTGGTATGGGATCATACCTTGGTATACCAGAGGACATCAGTGGATCAAAATGCAAGCTTTTTGCCTTCCTCAAGGACAAGCTGAGAAATAGAGTGAATGGGTGGACTGGCAGATGGCTTTCCAAAGGCGGAAAAGAAGTTATGATAAAAT